TATAGAATTCTATCTATCATTTCTTTTATTCTCATTAATACTCAATATTAATATATACTTTTATATTTTCTCTTATATTTTTCAGTTCCAGATTCTTATTATCCAAAATTATTATTCTTATTTTTAGTTATTTCTATTTTTTCTTTTTCTTTTCTTCTATCTCTTTTCTTTTCCTTTCTTAATTTTAACATATTTTTTTAATCTTCTACATCCACTTCCTTTTCAATATTTCTATATTTCTGTTTCTTTTTCCATTTTTCTTGTTTTAGATTCTTTATCTTTTTGACTGATTTTTATCTCTTTGATTTAACCTCTTATTCTTAATTTTTTTTCTATAATATAATTGTATCCATATCATAATTTTTTCTTTTTTCTAATTTATCTTCTTTTCTTTTTTACATTTTTTTTTTATAAAACCACAACAACCTTAATCATTGATCATTTTTATCTAACCTTCTTCTTGGTTTTTTTTATCTTTTTTTCTTTTATTCTTTTTTTTTCTTACCTTTCTCTCCTTTTTTATATTCTGTCTTAATTTTACTTTCTGAAATTTATTTTATTCTTAAATACTTTTATGTTTATCTTTCTCCATTACTCTCCACGTCCTTAGATTTTCACGTGTTCTCCTGTTTTTTCTTCGATGATGGTGTAACTCTCAATCGACCATGAGAAAACGCATTTTCGCCCAATAAGAAAATAAGAAAATTTCAATCTCCTATCCATATAGGGACAAATTAAAAAAAAAAGAATAATTTAATCTGTTAAACAGAATTTGAAAAACGAGCTTCGATTATATAATAGTATTATAGTAATATAATAATAGTTATTTTATAATTTTTGATTTTTATTTATTTTAATAAGAATAAAACATTTTTTTCTAGAAAAATAAAAGAATAGTGTGAATTCCCTATCCTTCTATGAAGAATTTTATGGATCATATCACTATTTTATTGAATCCCAGGAAAATCATTTGAATTATTTGTCGATTTTCAATGAATTGCTTTAATAATTGTTTAACTATTATATTAGTTTTTGTTATACAAACTAAATTATTAATATATTGCTTTCATATTGCATTAAATTAGTTATCTTTCTATATTATATTATTATATAGATAGCAAAATCTGATGTCAATATGTTCATATTCTATAGTATCGATAAATTTAATGCATAATTTCTAAATCAGCTGTATTTGAAATCTATATTGTTAAAATATTCGCTGCAAGTGCAGAGACAAAAAACTAAATCTCAAGAAACCAGATTTTGCTAAAAAATTTTTAAAATGTCTGACATCAAGCCGATTCAAATTAAAAATTTCTAATCATATTCTTAGAAAATATTGAACTCTCGAAATATTCCATTTTATGTTTTTGTTCATGTTTAAAGGAAATTATTTTTTGAAAGATGTTGTCTTTTGAGCATGTTTTTTTCCTGATTTTCACATTTTCATGATATTTATGCATCGCAAAATTTTAAATGTTGCAATACAGTTTTCTATCATTATTCGTTTGAGAGTGAATAGAAAATTCAATTTATCATTAAATTAGGATAAATAATCAATTAAAATAAATAATTTAGAATCGATCTGTCGAAATTTTTCCTCCCTAAAAGCTACATTTGGGTCTCGATTTCATTTTTTTCTTCGAAAAATAAAAAATCCCATTCTCAATTAATCAATCTTCCATCTTGAACAAATTAATATATATAGCCAGTAAAACGATAAAATATTAATAAACGACGAAACTATTGAAGAAATGTTATAATCTGTTGATGACGAGGCTCATATAATATTCAAAATTTAATAATAATACTTTCTCTTATAGATATAAAGGAACATTCTCCTACGATTTTTTAAATAGGCGAAGAGAGATAAAAATCATAGTAATCAGATTAACTTATGGGTTTGACTTAGAGTTTGCCTAAATATAAAAATAGAATCCAAAACAACGAATAGAAGAGTAAAAGAATATAGATTTTTTTCAAAAAGAAAAAAAAAAATGAAAAAAAAATTAAATATTTCATGGAGCTATTTATTATATTATTATTAGAAAATTGCAACAATGTATTAAAAAAAAATTAAAATTAAATACAGATATTAAATTAATTATATTTTTACATAAATATATCTGTTAAAGCCGCAAGCATGTACGATCTTTAATATTGCACAAATGGAGTGCCTAAACTAATATTATTGCTCGAAGAATCACCTACTACTGTAGGAACTATATAATCGTTTATCTTACGAGCTCTGAGTGAACGAATGGTGATACTTTAACTTTTTGCGACTAATTGTGTAATTCTAACTGTGCTTTGGTAAACTGTATCATCACCGAAATCTATCTGTCTGTCTTCTATGTCCACTCTAATTCAACTGTCCTCTCTGCCTGCTCTAATTCGACTATTGTCTCCTGTGCCGGTTCTAATTCGATATCTATACTCTATGACAGCTCTAATTCGACTACGCAAACCGCGAGTTTTAGTTTTTCTTCCAATCTTTGCTTTCAATTTCGTGAAAATGCACACAGAGAGGGATTAGATCATCGCGTCGAAGAGCGGTTCCGAAGGATGGGCCCTCGTGAAGTGGTTGCTGCTGTGGTATCTGTTCAAACTAGGATACAGAAAACATTAAGGAAACTATGTCCGCTCATAAATTATTATTACTAGGTATTCGAATTGAAAGTAAAACAGGACCCGACTATTTCACGAATCTAAGTCTTAACATGCCGCCTTGAAATCGCTAGCGAATTTAACACTATAATACGTAATAATGCTTTCACTCTGCAGTGTCTAATGTCTCTATAATCCCTGTCATTTAGATGAAGTGAAAGATCTTGGTCCACTTTTCCTTAATCGTTGCTTGGATCCGATGAGGATTCGTCGTCCTGTATTGACAGGATGCATAGTTTCGCCGTTGGCCGCTTAACGATGCCGTTGGTCGTTCTTATAGTGGCCACGCGCGGAATATCATCCGTCCCAAGGTGAAGCTACAACACTCTACCCATGCGCCATTGTAAAGGGAGAAGGTTTTCTTCTTGTATTATCACTAAGTCGTTTTCCCTTATGGCGCCTATCGATTTGTGCCCTTTATTCCTCTGCTGCAACTGTTGTAAATATTCCTTGCTTCAGCGCTGTCAAAAGTGCTGAAACAACTGCTGAATTAATTGATATCGGCTGAAGCGGTTGATTTAAGTAAGTAAATCATTCTCTCGTATCGCGATCAACGCATCGCCAATTAGGAAATGACCTGGAGTCAAAGGATTCAGATCGTCTGGATGACAAGGGAGTGATAGGTCGGGAGTTTAAACAAAACTATTTGTACTAGCAAAATGTATAGCTCTTCGAACGTCATTTCTACTCACTAATGAAGTGGAAAATGAAATGAAAGATAAAGTGGAAGATGAAGTAGAAGATTAAGTAGAAGAAGAAGATGAAGATGAAGTAGAAGACAATGATGAAATAGAAAATAGTAGAAGATGAAGGAGAAGATGAAGATGTAGTAGAAGATGAACTAGAAGAAATGGTGATAAAATAGAAGTATAAGAGGAAGATGAAGATGAAGTAGAAGACAATGATGAAATAGAAAATAGTAGAAGATGAAGGAGAAGATGAAGATGTAATAGAAGATGAACTAGAAGAAATGGTGATAAAATAGAAGTATAAGAGGAAGATGAAGAGAAGTAGAAGATAATGATGAAATAATAAATAGTAGAAAATAAGGTAGAAGATGAAGTGGACGATGAAGTTGAAGATGAAGTGGAAGATGAAGTTGAAGATGAAGTGGAAGATGAAGTGGATGATGAAGTGGTAGATGAAGTAAAAGTAGAAGATGAAGTAGAAAATGAAGTGAAAGATGAAGTAGAAGATAAAATGAAAGATGAAGTAGAAGTACAAGATTAGGCGAAAGATGTGGAAGATGAAGTGGAAGGTGAAGTAGAAGAAGAAGTTGAAATAAAAGTAGAAGATGAAGTAGAATATGAACTAAAAATAGAAGATAAAGTAGAAGATAAAACAGAAGATGAAGTAGAAGTACAAGATAATGTAGAATTTGGAGATGATGTAGAAGATGAAGATGAAGTGGAAAATGAATTAGTAATAAAAAATGATGATGAAGTAGAAGATGAAGTAGATGTAGAAGATGAAGATGAAATAGAAGATGAACTAGAAGATGATGATAAAGTAGAAGTATAAGAGGAAGATGAAGATGAAATAGAAGATAATAATGAAATAGAAAATAGTAGACGATGAGGTAGAAGATGAAATATAAGATGAAGATGAAGTGGCATATGAAATAGAAGATGAAGTAGAAGAAGGAGTTGAAGATATAGTAGAAGATGAAATATAAGTAGAAGTAAAAAATGAAATGGAAGATGAAGTAAAAGATGAAATAAAGGTACAAGATGAAGTGGAAGATGAAGTAGAAAATGGAGCGAAAAATGAAGTAGAAGATGAAATAGAAAATGGAATAGAAGATGAAGTGGAAAACAAAGTGGAAGATGAAGTGAAAGATTAAGTGGAAAATGAAGTAAAAGATGAAGTGGAAGGTGAAATAGAAGATGAAATAGAAGATGAAGTAGAAAATGCAGTAGAAGATGAAGTGGAAGATGAAGTGGAAGATGAAGCGAAGGATGAAGTAGAAGATTAAATAGAAGATGAAGTGAAGAATGGATGAAGTGGAAGACGAAGCAAATGATGAAGTACATTTTTAGAAAACATTCCATTTTTCGAACTAAAATTCTACATTGCACGTCAAGATTGAGCTAGAAAATGAAATTCTTGTCTTTTAGGAATAGATATATAGTTATAATAGCGACTTTTTTTATTTAATAACCGTAATTTTGATAAAAATCGATTATATCAATCAAAATTTGGCGTAATTTGACATATCTGTGTATAAAATATTAAATAACGTAAGTATGTATTAAATCTTTCTGATACATTGTATTGACATAAATGAAATACCATTCAATAATATTGTTTTTTGTAGCAATATAGGAAAGATTTCATGTTTACAACATAATATGAGATAAAATCAGACTTTTAAAGCTTCTAATGTATAAGGCATCAGTGGCGTCAAATGTATATAGTCCAAAAATGTGAGAACATCTAAACTAAAATTTCTTGAGATAATTTTAAAAACAATATTTTCATGTACAAAAAATTTTTATTATAATTTTATTAACGAGTTATTAACAAAAAATATTGATAAATCATAAAGCACATTGCTTGGATGGCTAATTTTTAGATCATTCAAGAATATCTTACGAATGTTATCACATTTTTGAGGCACTTTATAGCCGAATGGTGTTTCGAAAACAATCAGAATGACGTTTTCTAGCACAAACTTGTCGAGTTACCTCGAATTCTGCCATGAAAAATCGATTTTTATCAAGTTTATTGTTTGCATTCAAAAATCGCTTTTACTGTAAATGCTGTTTTAAATGCTATTGTTGTAATGTGCTTTAAAACATATTTTTTGTATGGATTGAATTCATCTCTGAATAATTTTCTTTGAACATTGTTTATTTTTAAGTTTTTTTTAGGTTTTCAAAATGATGTTTTTTATTATTTTGTCAATATTTTAAATTCTTTCAAAAATGATCAAAAATTGATCTGTGCTATTTTTGCATATTTCCGCGTATCGCTCACGATAATATATTTTTTATCAAGAACAGAGACATAGAATGACATAATTTGAAAGATTTTTTAGATCAAGCTGCAAATAAAAGAAATATCTTGTATTTGTATTTTTATATATTACATATAACGTGAAATTGATATTTTGTAGAGCTTAAAAGTTTTTTTGCTGCTGGAAGAAATGTGAATCTAGCTAACGAAATAGCTGGCTATTACTAGACAGCTTAAAATGATTTTATATTATATTGTTATTTATTTTTTATTATTGATAAATGTCACATCTATTAATCAATTTTATAAGAGAAAGAGAATAGATTAGTCTGATTAGGGTAAACAAATGAACTGATGAACAAATAAATTTAAATATTGCCAAAAATATCAAAAATAACGATTTTAATAGAAAATTCCTCTTACTGCCATATTGTCTTGGATTTAAATTTCTGAGTTTTTTATAATATATATAATGTGTATATCTAATATAAAATGTTTAGAACATAAGTACATAAAGTCTTTCTGATATATTATATTGATATTAAAAAAACATTATTTAACAATTTTTTTGTTTTAGCAATATAGGTAAGGTTTCATGTTTATAGCATAATATATAAGATTTTATGAAGTAAAATCAGATTTTTAAAGCTTTAGATGTATAAAATATCAAATGACATGAAACATATCCAGGTTCAAAAATGTGAGAACATTTAACTGGAAATTCTTGAGGTAATTTTAATATTTTCTTTTGCAAAAACTGTTACAATTTTGTTAATTATTATATTTAATTATTAATTAAAAACATTGGTTAATCACAAAGCGCGTAATTTAATTCTTAAATTATCAAAAAACATGTTGCGAATGTTCCTATATTTTTGGAATACTCTGTATTCTTAAACATATAATGTATAAAAATTCTATTGAGAAATATTTATAAAATTCATATTTTAAAAAATGGGAGATTATTAATATTTTATTTTCATACAGTGAATTAATAATAAAAAAAATTACTAATAAACTGTTTATTAATATTTCACAGTTGTTTTATATATAGCAGCCATTGAAAAATTAAATCTGTTTCCAATGCATTTAATTTGAATGATTCCGAATAGTCTAAAAGAAATTGATGCAAGTTCGGTCTAGAATTGGTTATACCTGATATATTTTCAATCTATTAATGTATTGCTGAAAGGAATCGATTGCTCTTTTCATTTTTTGTAAACTTTTTTTATAAAAATACCTATAATCTGTTATTTATGAAATCTGTAAATTCTAAAAAAGGACATAAAATATATAAAGTAGAAAAGTAGATTTACGAAGATTATTTATATCCCAATTTATCAAAATTTATTTAAAAAAAAAAGAAATTTTGTGTCGTAAAAATGGCATAATTTGAGCATTATATATCCAATGTACAATTTCATGTAAACAAATTAAAGTGATTATTCTTTTATATAGAACAAAATAATTGTAGAAATTTTGTAAATATCTAATTTATCTACTAAATCAAATTTCATAGTTAATATTTCTGTGAATTCAATCTAATTTTGTCAAAGTCATTTAAAAGTCATAATGTTATAGATTACGTCTTAACATTAGCTATATATGATGAAATCAAAAATACATTTATTTAAAAAAATAAGAAAAATAGAAAGAAATATTTTTTGGCAATCATAAATATTGCAATCATAAATATTTGTAACTCGATACATCAACTTATTTAAAATATTTTTTTTTTTTTTTTACATTAGAGATTCTTGAATATTAGAAATATTTCAAAAATCATATTATACATTATTATACATATATTTTATACATACATTATTATACACGTTCAATATACATATGTTAGATATTTCATTTTATGATATTGATTTAAAATATACACACACACACACACACACACACACACACACACACACACACACACACACACACACACACACAC